GATAGAAACTGAAACCCGGATAAGATTATATATAAAATTTTTTTTTCATTGATCGATCTTAACAAATAATATCAGTCGCATTAACTTAATTAAATTTTGACTTAATATTTTTAACTAAATTAGTGATATTTTATTAATTTTAAATAAAATAAAATTTTAATTTTGGCCGGCACTACGAATTTTGCCTGAATTATGACAATTTTTTGAAAATTTGAAAAAATTAAAATTTTGCAATAAATACATTATTACAAATATAAAAAATACAGTAAAATCGTAAAATAATGGAAGATTAGGCATGAACTAATTATTTTTATTATATTTATACTATTTTGTACTTAAAATTAATCAATTCAACCTATCTATTAGAAAAAATCTTTTTTTTTAAATCATGTATCGACAGTAATTTGGGCCAAACATATAATTTCGGCCAAAATTACAAAAATCCCAAATTTTGTTTAGCTGGGCCGGAAACTGCTGCCTTTTGACAAATATCAAGCAATTTCGCAAAATTCGGGCTGGCATTATAGATGGCCTGAATTATTACTGACCATCGAATGTTCTACTAGTAATTTTAGTAAGATAGATTATGATTTTAATAAATGGTAATTTAATAGATAATAATGTCAATAAATAAGTAATTTAAATGACAAAAAAAATTTTTTATAATTTTTTTTATCCGGATAATGGGTCAAACCGGATATTTTCTATCCGGATATTTATCCGGATAAAAACCGCGGTATCCGGATAGCTATTTTTTTTCCGGGTATCCGGATACCGCGGTTTTATCCGTGCACGGATCGAAGCACTACCAATAAATTGCTCTAAATTATATCACGTGATGAACTAAAGTTAATTACGAAATTTTACTATTAATAATTATTTATAGGAATTATCGCCTACCATCACACTTTCACACAAAGGATCTCTCAACAGTGGGCTAGCTCCACAAAAGCAGATACGTTCGCGATCTTTTCTATACTATTAATTTGTCCTCCTAATAGTACAGTACAGTAATAGAAATATTTACAGACTCACAAGCTACTATTCACACCTTTTACTCGCTCAATTCCGAAAAACACATCACGCCGTTTCCAGGAAGCACGCTCGAATTCAATCAGGAATTTACTATCGACAGAAATATATATCCGCTAAACCCTAAAGAAACTCATTAACTAGTATCGTCGTTTGAACATCACCTATCATACAAATCTTTAACGTTGATCAAAGAATTAACAATTGCCGATTATATTGACTGGTTACACTCACATCTGGATGTTATATATCTTCCTACACTAGACATTCTCAACCAGAATTTCCGAGACTTCTACAAGTTCTTTCAACATGTTTCTTTTGCAACAATGAATAGAAACTAACAGACAATTATGGTCATGCCCTTCGGTCACACGTTTAATATCAATCTTCCAGAAACACAAAGATTTATTCTGGACCCTTCTCACCCTGAAGACAGTTCTCATCGCTGCAATCTTTTAATTGGATGCATTAAGATATTTCTACGATTATAGAAAACAAGACATTAACCACCTTTTTATTGAACTTAATACCAAAAGACTTGATAGCCACTTTCCGCGCCGCCATCAGCACAGACAAACTTCTCAAAAAACTTTTATGTAACTTCGTTTATAATTTAGTACATTATTTACATTATGATATAGTATGCACAGATATTTGGAAATACCGTTGTGAACTATTCTCGGAGTGGAAATAACGTAACAATATTAACAAAAACTCTTTCAAGAAATTTCGAGCCCGCAAAAACAACAAAAAAATCGCATCAAGATTCGACCGATTCAAACATCTCCGACCGAAAAAACACGCGTCGAGAACGTTACAATTATCTTTATCGTAACCCTTACAATGCTTAACGTCAAAATACGGATGACACTATGTGGATATATTTTCTAACTCTAATTTTTTACATAATGTGCCTTGGTTAAATTTATTTGATTTTTCTTTAGATTTTACTTTACTTTTTTCTTCTTTAGATTTTTTTCTTCTTCCTCTTAACTTTTAACTTTTATTATATATGGGATGTGTATTACTAGTTGAATATGCGTACGTAGTTAGTATGTGAATTTTACCTCTGTGCCTATGTATCTGTTTCAGCAGTTTACTTGCCTTTATTGTAATAAAATAAAATAAATAAAAAAATTAATAGGAATGTATTGATTTTATCCAAATAGTATTTATTTGTTATAATATGTAAACTGATAAAAATTTTTAATTTCTTGATGCGTGATCAGATGAAAATAAAAACCCATGTGGCTAGATCAAATTATTTTTTACTTTATATTTGGGAAAAAAATTAAATAAAATGAATTTAAAAATTGAATTTTATATAGTAACGACTGAGTTATTTTAACAAGTTATTCAAATTAATGTATTTTTTTATTATATTATTTCGGATCATATTCATTATAGTAAAATTTCTTTTTTAATAATAAATTGCATTATTTTTTTAAATAAACGTGATAGTATGCATCCTAAAGTTTTTATTTAAAAATGCACTTAGCATATAGTAAATACAAGTTCTCGACGTTTTTTTTAATTATTTTATTAAATAAATAAAAAAATTCATTTTTTTTATTAAAACGAAAAATCTTTTTAAAAAAAGGCAGGATTTGAGATAAACTTAAACTGTGGCTGCTAAACATTCATGATGGACGTATTAAACAATTTAATAAAGATAATAATATAATTTAATTTGTAATTTATATTTTTTTTATTAATTATCAGAAGATCCCTGTTATGTTAAATGTTTACTTGTTAACGATCGAATTACTAGTAATTCGTAAAAAAATTGAATGTACGAGATTATATCTCGTAAATCTTTAATAAATGTGAAAAATATTAATAACTGGTTGGCCCAATTTTTGGCCATCAATTTTTTTTCCATAAGAGCATTTATACTGTTCTTTTTTCTTCTTCGGACAGCATTTTCAAATTTTTCAGTTGACGCGGCCGTTTCATTTGTCGTTCCTATTGTGAGCTTTACCTTTTAGAGGCAGGAGAAATAGGTCTTGTACGTTTCTTGTATAACGAAAGTTCTGGTTGAATCTCATTATTAGAAAAAAATTTCTTGAACAGCTGCTTTATTTGAAAGTTGTTCATCTTTGAGTTCATCACGTTTTAATGCAAGTTGACCTTCTAACTGATGTTGAGAGCGAAGCAGTACTTAAGAATTAACATTAGACCTGCTAATTTTCTTTCTTTGCATTTTTTTGAGAATAATTTCGCTATAATATTAATGAATGGAGTATTAAGAAAAATGACAAGAAAATAAGTTAAATTGACACAATTGGAAATAAATCATGAGTGTGAAAATTATACTGTAAATTTACTTAATTGATTTCGTACGACCGAGTCGAAGAAAAGGTTGTCCGTAACAAATGAGGTTGCTGAGGTTGAGGTTGCTGAGGTTGCTGAGGTTGTTGATATTGTTGACATTGTTGATAATGTCGAAAGTTGAAATTGAAATCGTTGAAATTGTTGAAATTGTTGACATTGTTGATAATGTCGAAAGTTGAAATTGAAGTTGTTGAAGTTGTTGAAATAGTTGAAGTTGTTGAAATTGTTGAAGTTGTTGAAATTGTTGAAGTTGTTGAAGTTGTTGATATTCAGAATCTTCAAAATCGAGATAGTAAGGGCAATGGCATTATTACGTAATATTTTAGGGTGGGAGTAAAGAAAGGTCTTAATATATATGGTGAAACATAAGATTTTATATTAAAACTTATAATAAATGGATATTACATAATAAATGTCACTGCCCTAAGATTCCATGATGATTTAAAAAATTTATAGAATTAAGTAGGGCGAAAATAATTCTGATTTTTTGAATTTTTGTATTTTTTGAGGAAAAATACCTTAGTCTTTTTATAAGGCCTATTTACTATAACTATTTCAACATCCTATAATATTTATATTCGGTAAGATTATCTATAAGAAAAGTTGAAATAACTTTTTGATTGACATGCAGTTTATTCAATTCTTTTTTTTTATAGATAAATACTTATAATATTTCATCTGAATTTAATAACACTATTATAGAGTATTATAGGATTACAACAATAAACTTAACAATTTTATCATTGAATGAATTAATATGAAACAATTTTTCTCCTGTAAACATCTAATGAAATGATAAATTTGGTTAATAAAAAAGATAAGAAGAGATAAGGGAATGCGAAATAGTGTCATTATTATCAAAAAAACTTGTTTGTGAGAATTTTTTTTAATAATTGCAGGTAATGTATCCAGCTGTATTACGATGATTTATCAGCAGATTTTTCATTTTTTTCATTTTTTTTTTTCTTTACATTCCATGAACATCTTACCAAAGAAAACTATTTTATCAAGATAGGACAAAAATGAAACCTATTGTTCTTCACTTTATTCTTCGAAGTTAGAACCGACAATGGTTTAAACTTTAAACTGCAATTAATGTATCACGACAATTTATCAGCAGGTCAAGATTAAAGTTCGCGGAGTTATCAATATTTCTAATTTTGAATAAATATTTGTTTTATTAATAAAAAGTAATAAATTGTCTTTCATAAAATAAACCAATTAGGTACGCATTTTCCTTTTTAATAGGGACGCTTAAGGTTTATTTACTTAATCATGGGTGGGTATAAAAAAAAATATCCTGTTTATTTATTTAAATTTTTTATTTACGTTTTTGTGGCTGAAGATTGCATTAAATAACATGAGGTGATTGAAATAATACATAATAACAAATGAATAGGATAAATTTTGGTATATTTAAAGTTATATATGGTTAAATCGATGTTTTACAAATTTATCCTAATCTGGAAACATCAGCTGGATTTTTTTGGAATGAACTTCAATCACCGCAGTAGTGACCAATCAATTCCATTTAGATGTTTCATTGTATAACATTGTATAACTATGATACCTGTTTCGTGACACAAAAAATTTCTGTAAAAGGAAATCGAAAAAGAACAAAAGAAATTTTTTTTTTTTTTTTTTTTTTTTNATAAATATTTTATTCATTTTATTTCTATACTTGATTTCAAGTCGGTAATTATATAAAAATAAGTATAAAATTTACACTTATAATATAATAAATTGTTTTTTTAATGTGAAAGAACGTAAATAATTTTTAATAAATAACGGTAATACAAGTGAGTAATTTAATGGCATCAAATGATCAATGCGATAGGAGTAACTTTAAAATTTTTTTTTTTTTTTTATTTTATTTATTTTTTTTTTATGGTAAACACGTTCTCGAATGAACGGCAAACGCCAATTTTTGATAAAGATAAGGTAATGTTACAATTGTTACATGATCTACAGAATTCTTAAAAAGAAAAAAGAAAAAAAAGAATTAAAAATCTTCCCACGTAATGAATCCATTAAAAAAAGTGATTGATAACAAAAAATTTGAATTGTATAAAAAAAGTAAAGTATTTTTTTTTATTGTTTTACAATCTACTATAATATGATTTTTATTAGTAATATGATCCTTATCTTTTTTTTTCAACTAACTTTGAATGGCCGATGTAAAAAAAAAAATAAATATGCATATAATATTTGAAAATTAATATAAACCAAATTGAGTCTCAAAAAAAAAAAAAAACTTGTTTAAAAAGATATGCAATTAAAGTATTACAGATTAATAATTTTTATTTATATAGCATATATTATATCCGGAATTTGTTGCAGGATTTGATATATTCATTTTTACATGCATCAATTGCATCATCACTAATCAATATAAACAAATTGGACAAAGTAACAAGCACAAAAGAAAAAAAGAAAAAAAATTCAATTTTTTTTTATTTTGTCAAAATTTAGTGGTATTTTTTTGCGTGAAATATTTAAGAAAAAAAATAAAAATGATAGTTTTTTTAGAAAAAATATATATTTTTTTCGATATTATTCATCTCAAAATATAAATTATATATTTTTAAGAATATTTTTAATTTCTTTTATTTCTTTTTCTCTTATTCAAAATTTTATTCGGAAAAACATTGATTGCAAATTTGTCGTACAAATTGCACTATCTAATAGACCGAAATTCTATACAATTTTCTTTTGCTGTTCTGTGAAGCCATCATGAAGTACAACACGTGATCTTCTTACGTAAAAATTTCGTAATCAGCTATATCACGTGATCGTATTACGTCTCTTTGTTGAAAAATCCCAATCAATATCAAGGTTTAAACCGCCTCAAATATACAGTCAGATATCAAGCCAATGGCCGTCAATTCTTCTTCAACCATGACAAAAGATATATTTATTGCAAAAAAATTGAAAAGTTTCGTCATGATTATAGTTCAAACCTCGTACCGCAAAGAGGGAACGCGCCCGCTTCAAACGGTTTTTTAGTTACTCCTATTTTAATTTTTTTTTTTATCGCTGTGATCGCATCTTCCGTTCCGCTCACTCTATAATCAAAGATCCAGATCTCATGGACATGGAACACAAATTGGCTACCGCCAAAAAGCATAGATTTTTTTTTAAAAATCACGAGTTATTAACAAACCGATTAAACATTTGAGATATCACAAATCCGATCAAAATTCTTGTAGGGATAATTACAAATTTCTTTTACCAACAACTTCATTAGTTTAGCCGACCGGCTACATCGAAAACTTCAACTACTACTCCTAACACAAATACTGAGTCGCAAACTTCGGTTTCGACTTATGATTAAGTTCCTCTTCAAACACCTTCTACAACACCTGTTTTTAATCATGGATATGATTTTGCTATACCAGATGACCTTTTACTTTTTATACCTAACGGTAGTGCTTCGATCCGGATTGATCCATTGGTTAGGATCACAACATTTTTCTATTATTTTTGTCAAACTATAATTTTTGTCAGATTTGAAAAAATTATTCTTCTTCAAATTTTATTAATTTTGGCCAAACTTATAGCTCCAACTCAAATAAACCGTTGCCAAACCGTAGTAAACCGCGGATTGATCCGTTAAAAACCCATCCGGATCGAAGCACTACCTAACGGTCTCCTTTACGTACAGGGTACTCGCACGAAACGTACCTTCATAATACCGGGTGGCAACAGATGGTTTACAGAAGTTAGACGACTCAAACGAGACTAATCAATCAAAACTCCTCAATACATCTCTTAAGAAAATAGAACAACGCGTGAATCTTACGCATGATCTTACTCGTTTCCAAAACGTTTATCACTAACACATGACGTCGTTCTCTGAACGTCGTGATAGTCTCAAAAAGAAAAAAATTAAAAGCGATCATCATTGTTGAGCAATAATTTTAGAGTCACCTATTTTTTTTTTTTTTATCACACACGTAGCTAATATATTTCACTTTACTACATCATTAACGTATTGACAAGTGGCGGCCTCGTGCCGAAAGCAAAATACGGATCTTAATTAGAATTTTCTTTTTTAGAGTTGTCTTTTAGCCCCTTCGGGGAAGAGAGACTTGTCCCTATTTATTCCTTAATTCACCCCAGTGCTTTTAACTTTGTTTGGTGGCGTAGCTTCATCAGGGAAGTCGTACTCTTTTTCGAAGGGTGAGGTCCTGCCATCAGGAATTTGCTGGTGTCGGGATGAATGTTCTAGTGTGGATTTACAATTAGTTCCCTTTGTTTATTTTATTACATATAGTTATAAATATATCTCTGCCAATGATTTCTACTCTTGAATAAAAAAAAAAAAATCAAGATTAAACCATATTTACTTTTATATATATATCGATATTGCTAATATTAAACTATGATATGTAGTCTCTTAATGGAACATCCTTATAATACAAAATTTTCTTATTCTTTCGGATTTTGACTTGTTAGTTCCCAATCAAGATTTTTTTCGCCAGAGTTCTATAGAAAAAAATAAAAAAAATTGTCATGATTAAAAATAAATATCAAATTAATAATAAACTGAAAAGTAAAGTAAATAAACCAATTTAAGGTAGCAAATATTTTTTCAAATATGGTTTGTTCGTAAGTGTTTATGTTTCACTGAATTCAATAGTTCATAGGTTCCTTGATCCCTTTGGACACACGTCTAGTCTTCTAGAGCTTCAAACAGGTCAGGTGATATCAGATGACACTACGTTTCGATAGGATTCCGGTGCCAGAAAAGAAAAACAAATTAATAAAAAAAAGCTAAATTTTTTTTTTAAATATTCGAAAATGAAAACTTACTTGCGATTCAGGAAACAGTCTTGAAGCCAGAGTCTAGGATGTCCAGAATGAGTTGTCGTGGTCCGAAAATTGTGATTATAATTTTGGCCGAAATTAACCTAATTTCAGCCAGAATTAACATTAAAATAATATATTTTTTATTCAGAATCGATTTTTTATTTATTTATTTTACAATTTTCGTCTTTACAAAAAAATTCATCTAACTATTAAAATCACTATTACCATATTACCATTCAGATTGAAATAAAGAAATTTAAGCATTTTAATGCTTTCTTTTTTAAGCGCCACTCTTCTAGTATCTGATAATATAGTTTTATAACTATAAAAATTACGTTCAATATCTACACTAGATACTCATATATATCTCAAAGCTAATGAACTAAGTTCTGGTAATAAATGTGATTTACCGCCAATATATATCTAAATCTTTAAATTCTTCCATAGATTCATTTAATCCACAGTAAATAGTACTCCATTCTATCTTGTATTAAAGTATCTGTCAGAAATTGAAATTCTTCAATAATTTTATAATCTCCCATATTACGATGAGCTATATTGGATTGAATAAATCTTGGGTCAAAGCATTGTATTGCTCTAAATAGTGGTAAAGCTGGATTATTAGGCCGGTGACATAAAATTTTAAAAATGACCCGGCCGGCCGGCATTTTTTTTTTATATATGTAAAAATTTTTTATATGTGAAATTTTTTTTATGCACATTGGCCAAAAACTTAAAATCACGTGATAAAAATTTTTTACTATAAAAAAAATTTCCATTTTTCGAAAAACTGACCCGGCCGGGTCACGAGAATCTAAATTTTTTTTTTGCCCGGCCTTAGTAGATATATGTTTTTCACATATTATTAGCTGTAACTTTATTAATGATTGATTAATGATTTAGAATTCTTTAAAATACGAAACAAATTTGTTTATTCACGAATAATGAACCTTCAAGCTTTTCTTTCAGCAGGAAGAAGGAATCCTCCAGTTTCAAACGAAATAGAGCAAATTTTTAATGAAAGACATTATGATAGAGAACCATTTATCTCATCATTTTCTAAGGCTTTATGAAAAATATTTTCTTACCTGCTACAATTGTACGTAATAAAATATATAAAAATTTCTACTACAACAATGCAAGGTTGGCGAAAAATATGGAAGATATGCATACTGTTGAGTGTAATATTCCTGAATTTCCTGATTATGGAGTTAATGATATGATGGACGTCAAAGAAACAAATGCTTCAGAATATATCAGCATCTTAATATTTTCAAAAAAAAAATTCATGGAATTGATGAAGAAAATATTGAAGAAGCTATAAAGGATGCTTTTATGCAAACAGATAATGTTTGGAAAGATAAAAGTTTTAAATTTGTAAAGTTGATACAGATACTGATTTCTTAGTCTTAACATGTGATGGGAATAGCTTGTGAAAATTTAATGAATAAGTGTTTATATTACATAAACTTGATAGCAGAGATAATATGACAGTAATCATCATTATTATAGTAGGCTTTTACATGGATTGGATATGGAAAAATGGATGGTTCTCGATGTGTAGAAGGAAAATTAAATATTAGGCCAGTTAGAATAAAGCAAATAACTAGGATTAATTATGCTGTATAATAAATTAAATTATAAATGTATGAAACAAGTTAATATTTTTTTTTGTATGTGATGCTTATCTTTCAAGCATTTTTTTTAAAAAGATTGCTAAGATAAAAAGCTAGATGCGAAACTTTTAATTCTTATTTCTGTTTTTTTAGCTAACGTTCATATGGATCATGACTGTATATCTTGTCTTTGTATTACTTCCAATTAAGGATTATATTTATTAACATTTACTATCTATAAATTTCTTTAGAACATACTACTAAAAATTTCGAGTAATCTACTGGATATTAAATGATAAAATTTTAGTATTTGTCATAAATGACGTTTTATTTCACTAGTTTAATACTAAAGAATTATACCTGGCAAAAAATTTCTCTGAAATGCATCATCGTTATCTGAAATTTGATTTTATCTTTAAAAAACGATTAAGCAGCATAGAATTTTATATATTTCAACTTAATAAAATAAATTTTATTTGCATATAAATAAAAACTCGTAAAAAATCTAATTGTTTGGCAAATAATTACATTTATCTCCTAATGATTTGAAATACTTCATAATCTTTTATTGGGAAATCAGCTTCAGTATCTCTTATCCTTTTTTCATAATGCTCCTTACTACAATAAGTTACATTGAAGTTTGTAGATACATCATCTAAATCTAAATTTTTATAAGAATTTATGTTAAGATCATATCCAAACTGTGGACCACATTTAATGCTATTATCTAAAGCACAATTTGCATTTTTTACATTACTTAAAATTGCATCTTTAATATTCATACTTTTAAATGAAAAAATAAAACTATCTTTAGTTTGGGTCCATAAATCAGAAGATTCCCATTCTAGAGGATTATATCCACCAAGAATTTCTTCAGTTTCTTCCACTTTAATAAATGTAACAGTTCTGGGTTTACCATCACATAATTCATGAAATTTTTTAGGTGTAAATCCATCTCGACTTCCTCTTAATAATAAGTCAAATTTATATGGTAAATATGATTCACTATAATTATTATCATTAATAATCACTTTATCAACCCATTTTGAGACAGTTGAAATAATATTAATATCAATAATTTGTGAAATTTTTCTTGGACTTAAAATGTTGTCATTTGACACACTACCAGGATCCAAATGAGAATTTAACAATTCTTCATATAGTTGTTGACCTAAGAGTTTTTGATATGGACGAACTTTTTGTGAAAATTCCCTGGACGATAAGCAATAAAATCTAATTAAAGGCAAACAGTGCTGTAAGATATTTTTCATTGTCTTAAAATCATCATCTGACCAAGTTTTAGGATCTGGAATAAGATTTGGATTTTTCGCAAGACCCCATTTTAATACATGCTCCCAAATTTCAACTTCTTTCATTTGCAAATCATCTCTTTTAATAAGCGAAACTAATGACTTTTCAGAAAGTGAAATAAAATCAATTGAATTAAATATTTTATCAGGGGATTGAGCCATTAAATTTGTACAAAATTCGTGAAGTTCTAATAAATTATTAGATTGCGAACTAATTTGTTGAGCAAACTCAAAATGATGTTCTATCCACTCTGGCTTATTTTCAATTAAATATTTTTGTAAATAATCAACTAATTCTTTAAGATGAAGGTTATCTGCAGCGACCAAAACTTTAAGAAAGTCAGAAGTATCGTTCACATTTAACGGAAGAATACCACCATAAATATACCTATATTACAAAAATTTAATAAATATTATAAATCATAAATATTATCAGTTATAAGATAGATTAACTTGTTATATAACTTACTCTAAAATTATTTGAAATATTTCCGATGAAATATTTGATAGTTTAATATGTGTTAAATCATTATAATTGTTCCTTTTATTGGAAGTTAAAATTCGTCGAAAATATGAAGAACGGTAACACAAAATATTCATGTGAGCATGTAGTGCTCCTACCGGGTCAAGTCGGGTCGGGTTTTGAGGAAATATTCGACCCGATCTGAATAAAAAAATATAAGACTCGTATTTATTCGGGTCTCATATTTTCGTAACCCGACCCTTGACTCGACCGAGTATAATTTAACTCGTGTAACCCAGGTTAGACCCGAACATTTAAGTAAAATGGGTACTAACTTATATTA